TCCACGCTGCCTGTTGCGCCTCTGGCGGACGTCCTCATTCCTTTCTCCTCTAAGCCCCATTCCTTCCCTACTGATCATCTGTGCGCATTCTTGAGCGAGGAATGATCTTATGAAACCGTACGATGTAGCAGCATTTAATGTTGCAAAGCAGATCTGTTCTCCGTAGACTGTTGCAGTACGTACAATGAGCGAACTCTCCGATATGAAAAAATGGCTAGTTTGAGAGAGCTGTCCCACCTACTGTGCATAACCATTGACGGAATAGACGTTTCACACTCGCACTACTGTCAATTGAACGGTGCAGGAGAAGCTTGGAATGGAAGTAGGTAGTCTATCTAGAATGTTCTCCATCATTGATGAGCTTTTTCCTAGAATGGGAAAGAGATAGCATCTTTTCATTTGATCCCACGTGCAGAGAATGGAGAAAGGGAGATCCACAATGAAGACTTACTCTTTACCCTCAGGAAAGAAGCAGACATTTGCCATGAATAAGAATAATCACCTCCTTCCTATCCCCCGACCCTCTTAAGTAAGTTTAAGGGTTACTCTCATCACTAGAATGAAAGTGTTACCAGACTTGGGTTCTAAGATCTTTCGATTTGCGTGCATAATGGAAAGTGTGAATGATTCGGATTCTGTGTCATTATCCGTCGTGCAATTGTATGCGAGTCAAGCGTACGAGAATGAAAAGCATGACGTCAGAATAAAAACATAGCTTTTGCTCGAAGCAATTCCTCGGTGTGAACAGATCTTCTTCCAGCAGGAGAGCGGATTTGAATATCGATTAGCCTTGGCGCATAAATTAGAAGAGCTTTAATTTTTAACTCGGCATTTGTACGGGTTCCTCGCCTAATGCACACACGTGCGCCGAGATCCGTTTGATTGCTTTAGCTTATCTGCTTCTCCCCCTCGTGCTCGTCCAACTGGGATTTAAGGGGTCGTGCACGAAAGACATCGGTTGATGACTCATCACATTCCTCAAGAAAACGGCTTACGAAGGTGGGGAAAAGTTAGATTATGATCTGGGAAGCACAGCAATACCCGTGATATCGCGGGGTCTTCCAGGGAAGTTTCTGTTCTGGCTGCATATATAGAACGGGAATCAAATTTATTCTCCTCGAAGATAAATAGTTATGGCGTGGATATCGACAAAATTTAATTATGGAATGATAAGGTAAACAGGACGACATAATGTAGCTATTCGAGTTCTGTACATCGTCCATGTGCCGACTTGCCATTAATATCCTCTGGGTTGGATGGGCTTTTGATGACCACCAGATAATTGTCCAGAAAGTAATATGTGAGAGGAAAATGATCCTGGTCGACGGGATTAATCGTTACTGAAGTCTGCGACCGACATGCATTTGCAATCGACGAGATACGTGGTTGGAAGTTTCTGCCAAAGACCTACACGGATCACCTGTAATAGCCAGAAAGGGTTTCCGAGGAAACTCTTCATTCGACTTTTCCATCCGATCCTGTTTGAAGTCGCATCAAAGCTGTCTTTCACGTGGCGTCACTGTGATAAATGGAAAAAGCGAGCCTGAAAGCCGCCTTTCATTCGCTCCTAAACCCGTTCTCATACGCCAACACATTCATCATTCCCAGGCATAACAAAGGACTCGTTACTTGAATTTTTCCTCGATAATGACGAAAAATGTTCCGAGCCCAACCGCATGGATCCGCGGAACTCCGACTTTGCGAAATCTCGAGTCGCGGAGATTCGAGTTCCTACCACGAATTTTGAAGCGGTGGGCATATATCAGTAAGGAAAAAGGGTGTATTGAAAAATGCCCCTTGGGACATGGGGCGAAGGGATGACTTTAATTACGAGATTGAAGGGGCCGGCTCTCCTGATTGATATACGTTCGCCTCTAGAGATTTCTTCGTGTCAGTGGAAAAAAGCCTCGCAATACAAGATTGAAGAATTCCTTCATTATTCCCGGTCCGAGATTGCTCCCAAGGGAATTCGAAGGAATCCATCGAAAACCCATCCTCGACTCGTTGCCCTTCCATGGTCTCATACTGCGAGAACCCCTGTTAAACGTCCTTTTTTATGCAAAGGAGAGAAAGTTGCGCTTCGGGTCTGCGGAAGGAAGTAAATGGACTTCAGCTTGGAAAGGTATCGATTCATCTTCCCAAGAGATGCAAGTCCCGACCTTGCATCGATACGGAGCGAATCGATTCAGAACATTCCATTGCCCTGATGGGATGACATCCGTAAGATCTAAACACAGTGATACCAGGCACGTACCTATTTTCGTAACGCATTTCATGGAAGTCGGCAGAAAGTTCCTCGCAAACGGTGCTCCCGTTGGCTTCTTCAGCGAAAAACCCCTTATTCGCATTCCGATGAACCAAGAGCAAGGATCTCACTCGGAGTGTTTCGTGCTCGAGTCGCTTAGTGACTCGTTCCGTTTGATAACTCGAGGCAGTTTTCTCTCATGCAAGTTGGAAGACTCGAATGATCATGTTTGGGAGAGGTAAGGGATAATTTTTTCATGCATACTCCCTCTTTAATGCCTCCGTCAGACGAGGAGAATCACGCACGCTTTCCTCATCCATCACCTCCAGATACTGCTCGGCAATGTAAATGCTCACGTGGGAACTTTTGAGAGCAATAGAGAACAGTTTACACATGCGTTCCCGTAGGACGGGACGCAGTCGACAAATGTCACATCCTGTTCTTCACGAAATGTCGACGTATATTGCGAAAAATTCAACTAAGTTTCTGCCAAAAAATCTTAATGCTAAATATAATCTTTTAGCATCGATACGGAAATTGCTTCATTTCGATTTTCTGTCAGATTTCGCGGAGTGGTTCGCCTACTAGCCATCTCTGATCAAATAAACCTGATCCATGACAGTCACCACGTTAACGCATGCGCCAAGTTACCAGAATGTGATTTGTGGTGCAAAGAAGGTGCAAATCGTGCTGCAAGTTTGTTGCTGACAAAAATGTGCAATTTCATGACAGGAAGAATTGCTCTGAAGTGATTTGCATTCCCGTAAGTTTCAGGCATCGCACACAGACGAACATGGAAAAAGATTCGTGTCCTACAAGGAAAGCCTTAAATGTTTCTCTCTAGGATCAGTTACCGCATCCCTACTTTTTACTACGAGGGTGGATCGAAAAGTAACGGCCGACAATTTTTTCTCGAGTGTCTTTCTATCGAGGACAAAATGCTTTTGAGGGTAGGTGCAACCATTTGTCATTGATGCTAGCATGCATTAATTTTATCATTTGCCACAAAAATGTCGACGCATGACAGATTATACAATGACCGCACCACTGGATATATGCACCAAAATTGAACAGTGATCTGTGATTCGTTTCCGGTGATCCACAGGTTTGAATGCTGCTGAAATTTACTGCTGAAGGCACAGTATGGGGCATGTGTATGAATGAACTGAAAATGCGTGAGTGGGTACAAATGTTTCGTACCGGTAGAAGTGTTAAAGACAGCGAGAGACAGGGCAGATCCAGCACCTTGAAGACCCCTAACAATATTGCAGCTGTGGAGGCTGAAATCTTAAACAGCTAACGAATATCAATTGCACGGATAATGACCACGAGGCCCCTTCATTCAGCCATTAATTTCGGCAGCATTCAAACCTGTGGATCACCGGAAACGAATCACAGATCACTGTTCAATTTTGGTGCATATATCCAGTGGTGCGGTCATTGTATAATCTGTCATGCGTCGACACTTTTGTGGCAAATGATTCAATTCATGCATGCTATCATCAATGACAAATGGTTGCACAGATAGCTGCCATCAATTTCCGATACAAGCAGGAACGTTCTCATTCGCGTGACTGATCTAATTGTGATGTCAAAATCCTGCATGACTGGACTTGCAAGAACGAAGAATTTGCTAGCAGCTGCAAACTTCGTTCAGTCCATTTTGAGCATTGGTTGAAGATGGCAGCATTTTTCCAAGTTCAGCAGAGAACTAAAAGCATGGTATCAGAAATTCATGAAAATTCACAAATTGACACATTCTAAGTTTGAATTTAATTATCCTAAAGCTATTCAAGTTTATCAAAATTGACTCAGAGGAACCAAAATCGACTTACCTAAGTCATAAGTTTCCACCTACATCCAAAGGAGAATGTGAAAAGTGTGAACCCAGGTGGTCCCTTCATTTGACCCTGTGGTCCCTTCTTTTGGTCCAGGTGGTGGGCCTTCGTCGGCACGAGCGGGATCGTGACATTGCTAGTCGAGGGCCCACCGAGCACCTCATCAGGACTCAAAATCAAATATTAACAATATTTATTATNTGGGGACATGTGTATGAATGAACTGAAAATGCGTGAGTGGGTACAAATGTTTCGTACCGGTAGAAGTGTTAAAGACAGCGAGAGACAGGGCAGATCCAGCACCTTGAAGACCCCTAACAATATTGCAGCTGTGGAGGCTGAAATCTTAAACAGCTAACGAATATCAATTGCACGGATAATGACCACGAGGCCCCTTCATTCAGCCATTAATTTCGGCAGCATTCAAACCTGTGGATCACCGGAAACGAATCACAGATCACTGTTCAATTTTGGTGCATATATCCAGTGGTGCGGTCATTGTATAATCTGGCATGCGTCGACACTTTTGTGGCAAATGATTCAATTCATGCATGCTATCATCAATGACAAATGGTTGCACAAATAGCTGCCATCAATTTCCGATACAAGCAGGAACGTTCTCATTCGCGTGACTGATCTAATTGTGATGTCAAAATCCTGCATGACTGGACTTGCAAGAACGAAGAATTTGCTAGCAGCTGCAAGCTTCGTTCAGTCCATTTTGAGCATTGGTTGAAGATGGCAGCATTTTTCCAAGTTCAGCATGGTGTCAGAAATTCATGAAAATTCACAAATTGACACATTCTAAGTTCGAATTTAATTATCCTAAAGCTATTCAAGTTCATCAAAATTGACTCAGAGGAACATTTTAGCTGAATGGATTCAGTATTCAAAGGTGGATGTAGGTTTCCTCTTACACTTTTCACACTTGGGTCCACCAGGGAAGTAAACTGGGACACCAGGGAAGAAAACCAGGTCCACCACCCGGAAGCACGGCACGAGCGGGATCGTGACATTGCTAGTCGAGGGCCCACCGAGCACCTCATCAGGACTCAAAATCAAATATTAACAATATTTATTATCAACAATATTAACAATACTAACAAAGAGCCTTGGGCCAATCTACACTGCTTCAGCTCCCTACCCAAGTAGCCATTTTGATCCAAAATAAATCCATTGGACATACCCTCATGAACACTTGGACATCCAATGTTTATCCTCCTCGGACATCCCCTGGATGACTAAATGTCTCGTTCAAGGAAAATCCTTGGACATGTCCGTTGGATGGACTATTGAATCAGGCAGAGAAACCAAGGTAACCTCTATGGGAAACCCTTTCGAAAACCTACTGGTAACTCCCCACGTCGCTATCATTAGGGGTCCATCGATACCTCGTGTTAAACGTACGAGTACTTATAAGTACCGCTGGGTAAGGGAGCATTTTCTGCATTTTGGCAATCTCGTCCTCTCACGTTCCTTGGAGGAACTAGGAGAGGAATGTTTGGGTGGTAAGTGAAGTATTATTGAGCCGAAACTCTCCACTTCTCTTCCTTTTTTCTCAATCAAGACAATGTTCTCCCCATCGCCATAGCTGACATAGTTCCTGTGGGGAAGGAACAGACTTACTTGGCAAGGGGAACCACACTCTCACCATGCAATGAGCAAGAATTGCCGGGAGTCTCCTTCAGTCTTTCAACAAATGAATGACTTCATTCCTTAGGCTTGTACGTGGGAAATTATCGAGTAGAGGATGAAAACTTACGCAAAACAATTCGTTAGCATTTTGGGAATCGAGAGACATACAGCGGCGGGATGAGCGCGACCTCGCTTATGTTATGGAAACTTTGTATTCCTTGAATGAACTGCTAGATGTCAGATCAGATGGAAAGCCTCAACGGGCAGGGATTCCATCCAAGGGCATCCAATGGAAGACCATTAGAAGTTGTCCTTGAAGTTGCCATTGCTGGACGTCCAATGGATGCCCAAAGAAGGACTGACACATCGTTTCGTTCGTATTGTAGAAATCTAAATGAAGTCATGCACCAGTCCAATTATGTCACACTATCTATATATTGATTGAAATTATTGAGTTGGGACCTAAGATGGGAGATTAGAAGGAAAAATAAGAACAAAATAAATCCTACGCCATTCCATAAAACCTTCATTCAATAACATGGAAACAATTGAGTGTTCGATGAAGGGAAATTCTGCTCGAATAAATCTCAGAAGCATGAGAAGATATCGATCCATGACGATGGCATCCTAAAGTATTAATATATCCAACGGACGACTGCCTCTGGACTTATATCTATCTCTGGACAACTGGACTGTCCATGGACGAGTTTTAGATCACCCCACCCATGGCTACTTGGGTACCTACCGCATTCCACTGTTGTTTCGCGATACTCGCGATTCTTGAGCATCCCTGTTCTCATTAGGGCGGTTCCAGGAATGGTTCAGCTACCTGCCAAAACACATCATGACCGGGCTCTCTCTAAACAATCGGAGATGCCGAGCAGGAGGAGGAGGACCTGCAACGAAGGCGATTTCTGTCGTCTCGCATACCGTAAAAACCATGACCAAGTCCATTGTGCTGTAAAACTTTCTGCCTTTTTACCCCTGAGAGCGATAACCATATCTCTAGAAGTTTTAAGTCGATATTCGAGCAACCACCGTTAGATTCCTCATATCGCAATGCCTATTCTGTCAAAGTTTCAGGTTCATAGAGAAAGTCCCAGATCTACTTTCAATCCGGAGTGTTGTCAATCGTGAGACACTTGATTCAGAGAACGGTCGTTAAAAAAGTTGTTATTGATATTAGAGCAGATTTTGTCTGAACCCCCTTGTCATTTTAAGACTATTTAAAGAGCATTTAATGCTGAATAAGCGTTAGGAAACCTTGAGTCAGGAGTTCACCAGATTTGGATCTGATTCATACATCTCACGATGAAGATTAAAATCATATCTAATATTTTTCTGAATCTCTGTAACACCAAGACTTAACTTGAAATAAGAAAATTCCCTGTCAAATTCTATTATTGAATTTTAAGATTAGATAAGACTAGGGCACAGATTCCGGATAGGGGACGTTTAATGGAAAATCGCTTCGCAGGCGAGACCCGCTCGCCTACCCGGCTCGACTGTTTCCTCGAAATGGGACCGTTTCGGAGAATAAAAACTAGTAATTCGGTGCCATTTTAGAGAATGCAAGCTTCGCACTGGGAACTCTCGTGATGATGGCATCTAGACATCGCAATTGGCTTAGCTTAGCAGCGGCGACTTGAGTATAAGTGCCCCGAGTATAATACTTCTCACTTTCAAATCATCAATTGGCGCGAGAAAAGAATCGTATCATAGAGAAATGTCATGAGATGGACCTCCACCGCCTATTCCCTGAACCATTCGAGACGATTGATCGAGAGATTGACAATGCAGAAAAGGCCTAGTCTCACTCTAGAAATGTAACGGCGTAAAACCCATCCACCCAAGTAACACAGTATATTGCTGAAATGTTTCCGAAATGTTGCCTATGTTGCTCTATGTTGCAAGTTGATGTACAACATTGATAAAACATTGCTTCAACGTTTTCACTTGGAATGAAGCTTCGACACTTCCACGAATGGCATTACAACATTTGCTATCAACATTGACACAACATTGAATGTTGACATTCTTGACATCGACAACGTAGCGACAACATTCTGATACAACATGGACTTAGAAGTTTTAGGGAATCGTAAAGTTGTCCTTGCCACGAGATGGAGACGTAGGTCTCGCTTTTCTCACAGTGCACAAAAGTGCCCTTCTCCCTTGGCAGCTCGTTTTGGACATTTACACATAGATGCAACATTGTTCATCAACATTTCCGAAACGTTGCTGGAATATCTCGTGTTACTTGGGCATTCCAATAACCGTAATGAAATGAGCGAGCACGTCTCCACACTCATCAGCTTCCTGCAGTGAACTGCCACCTGTCCTGAGAGCGATTCATTCCCTGTCGTCATCGTAAAATTCAGATGGCGGTTTTACGAGATAAATTCCATCCAAAATAGTGATCACAGAGCACTTCTCATCGATGCAACGTCGATATACCTTTCTTTTCTCTTTCCTTCACATTTGAATAAATGGCTATGGATCACGGTAAAGCGTGGAAGTCGCAAATTCCATTGACGATGGCACAAAGTCCACAAGCCAGGCACAGCCGCAGCTCCACGACACAATCTGAGCAGTGCGGTAGTATTCAAGCATCCATGCACATCGTTCCTTCAACACACAGCCATTGTGTCGCAATTTATACAGGTTAGACACAATTGGAGCGACTTGAAAATTTGTGCATTTCAGCAAAATTATATCTGCAAGCAGTGTAGCCTTTTAGCCCAAATAATGTGTGCCTGGTATCAGGCAGTTTTCATATAAGCATTAGGGAAACTTCCTTTCACTTAAGGATTCAATGAGTTAAAGGAAGCATGCAATGTTCAGACTGTTTTCAGGGTTGTTATTGTGAATTGGTGCCTTTCACAAAAGATGTGGTCAAAAACGAATGCCTGCCATGAAAACGAGGCAGACAAAGAGCTGGGAACCTGCCCGCCCTTTGGAACCTTGCGATATACTGCTTGCAGATATACAGGTACAGATGTGCTACTCGCATGCTAAGGAGCACCAAGCCAAACGAGGGATGACTCCACATTAATTGCGGCAGACAGGTGTCGCAGGATACTTTCCCCCTTCCTTTTTTTCCCCCATGGGAAAAAAAAATCATAGTTTTTTTCCCCATGAGGAAGAATATAAAATTATATTTTTCCCCTCAGGACAAACCTCGTATGAAGTTTTTCCCCCCTCGTGATAAATCCCCCCCCCCCGGCCTGAAAAGTGGGCGGTGTTGAGCGGACGAGAACAGTAACTGACAAATTGACAATTGGCAGTAAGCTCTGTTTTGACATTAGAGAATAAGCTATGTCTTCAAAAAATTTAATTGATCGTGATGAATGAGAAGTTGAGAGTTGAAAAGAAGCTGTTTCTTCTTTCCTCTTCGAAGCAATGTCAAAGACTTGAGGCCCTTGGAATTAAAAGGCAAATGAAGGCAGTTGACATGAAGCTGACATGAAGAAGCACCGTCCTCTGCAGGAGGAGTTAATCAGTATCGATCCGTTTCTTTAGTTTTTGTCAATAAATATTACATTCTCTTTTGGCGATCCTCAAGCATTCATTTCTACTTTAGAAAACGAACTCCCTGAATTTTCATCGAGGGAGGGGGGGAAAATAGATGAAAATTTTCCCCATGGGGAAAAATATACGACACTGGCCGTGTGTTGAGGGAAGGTGTTTCGTTGCACGTTTTGACTAACATATTAGAGGAACCTTTGCCTGCCATAACGTCTCATTGGGCGCAAGCAACGTTGTGTAAACGTTGAGCAAGGGTTAATTTTTCACCGTAGCAACATTGTCCAACGTTGCACAAAAGGTTGATTCAATATTACCGAAATGATGAACCAACTGTTCAACGTTGAAATCAGTCTTGGAAAATGAAAGTTTTGGTATTGCCTCCTTTTCCTGATATGGAAGATGCGAAGATGGTGCCGTGTCATGCGTCTACCTCATGCAATTAAGAAAAAACTCGAAATCATTTTCACCTCTTGAGGAGCTTCATGTAATGTTGGTATGGGCTCTTAAACACCATCTCCTTCTTCTTCGTCGTCCTCGTCGACGTCAGCTGACCATTTTGTCGACAAGATGTAGGGATGGCAAGTGAAAATTGGATGATTTGTTGCAACAGGAAATTATCTTTCTCTCTCCTACCCTCGAGTTCTACCATTTTTCTATCAGTGCGTCTGTTAGCACTCTAGCAATCAAAATCCCTGGGTATCGAGCGATTGAAATTTCGCGCATCCATTCCTTAGCATACGAAGGTTTATCCTTCGCTTTCTCTGACATTACGATTGCCTTATTTTTTTTTACTAGAAAAGTTAATTTTACGATTGAAAAAAAAATTGTCCAATCGTGTCCACAGACAGCATGGGAGCTATTAGATGGACATCAATTCAATTATAGGTTTTAAAAAATCCATCGGTGAAACAAAAAGCAGCTAGCAAGTCACCTGCAGAGGTATTTACTCGAAGAAACAAGGTTTCCACCACAGAAGTTAGACGACGCCTCAATCACAGATGAAGTAAGTCATTCCTAGAGCGTGGTTCTTCGTCTTCGTGGTTCAACCTTCGTCTCCATAAGCCTATTTGCTTTTGAACGTCCACTCGAAGTTCGTTTGACTTCATGCCTTAGTTCTGCTGTAAAATAGATCGACTGTGATGATGCAAGGACGGCGTAACGTTATCGCCTTCGTAGGCCCAGCAATCTCAGCTTAAGCATGCCTGGACCTTGTGGCCCCCTCAAGAAATTGCGGACTCGCACCCGTGAAAGAAAAAGAGTTCCGACCTGACGTTAGCAGGCCTATGAAATTCCCCCCTGGATTATTAGGCCTCCTGTGCCATGACTGCCTTTCATCGTGTTCATGGCAGCAAGAAAACTGGGAAGGGAAATTATGAAAATCCCATTGAAGTGAATGGAGACAGCGGCCATGATACCAACCACATTCTATTGTGCGCTACCTCCAGTTCTTTTTCTTAGCTAAGTGACATCCCCACGTCAGGCTAGCTTCCTTCAAGCTATGAGTGCTGCCATTATTATGTGACGTCATTCGGCTGCGGCCAATCAGACGAGGGCTCTGTTGTATCATAGTATTACACTGTTTTCGGATTGAATTGGTACCCCCCTTCTGTGGAGAATGGAGAAAACACAAGCTTTCCAGACGATTCTCTAGATGTCAAGCCTGATGCTCCACATGGTTGTTGGATAGTTATATTAATACTTCACCTTCCACCCACAAGGTGTCCTGCCTGTACTTGATGGAAGCGCTGCTAGGGGGAGGTACCAATTCAATTTGAAAACAGTGTATTTCCAAATTAGCTTCCTGGAGGCATTCTCCTGAAGACCTAGTCGAGATGGTTCAAGGAACTGCAGATAGGCCTAATGTTCCACGTCCGCACTGAAATGGATCATGAAACTTGAAACAGGTCTCTAATCAGTCTAACATTACCCGTCTTCTCTGAAATGGTCCGTGAAAGTCTGAATGGGCCTGCGATCGGCCTAAAATTACACGAGGGTGCGAGAACATGGAATTCATGAAGAGCGATAAGGGAAGAACCTTCTTGTTTTCGAGGGCCAGGAGCACACAAGGAAGAACAGATGGAGAACGTATCGGGAGTGCCTCTACAGTAGTTACAAAGGAAACTGCTGGTACAGAGCTACAACAGGAGGTCGGGTTATGAGCAGGCGAGGGCTACACCATCATGCCACAGAACCTGGAATGATACGTGGTACAAACGCGCAACGCGATCGCAAACATTGTGAACGATGCCTACAGCACGTAACAGAAGACTGGTTAATGCAGTAACTGAAATTACATCATTATCGCTTTTTCGTTCCCGGCCTTTCTATTCTGCAAAAAGTGTAATCTACGCATTGTCGAGGTATCAACTACTGTAAAGGGCCATCCATTTGCATAAAGTACTCAATTCCGTTGTCTCATTCTTCCGTGTGTCTTTGCCAAATTTCATGGCAATCGGTGTATTAATATTTAGTTCTCAAATGAGGAAAGTGATAGCAGGCACCGAGAGGATGGAACCAGAGCCGGATTAAGGGGGGAGGGGGGCCAAAGGAGGGCAGTTGCCTCCGGGCTGCACTCTTCCAGGGGGCCCCAGAAGGAAGTTAAAAACAAAAAGTAAAAAAAAAGTATTGTTTTTGCGTAAAGTAGCGGGGGGGGGGGGGGGAGCCCCAAGAATTCACTTGCCCCGGGCCTCGCAACTTCTTAATCCGGCCCTGGATGGAACTGATCTCTTGTTTTAAAGGAAGTTTTTCTTTTAAGATGAGGAAGCACATTTACACACAAGGTCTTAATTCAATTCTAAGCTCATGATTTCGGGTTCTGAATTGAACTGAATTCGAGGCTATCCAAAAATGGATTGAGGTTACATTTGATTATTCTACCAATGATACGGTGATCGTATTATAGAGAAAATTTACTGCAATATTTGGAATTAGGGTATCAAAATTAATTTGATGATTTATAAACACGAATTTTTTGGGAACGGCCAATCGTTTCGAGTGATCCGAAGTTCGACTCAGGAATTGCCTCTACCCGTAAAAAAAATAAAATAAAATAAAAAAATTACTCACGTTAAGGGATATAATAGGGCGATTTTTCTGTCCTCAAGAATCCAATTTCGAGGAGCGACGACCTCATTATAACTGGCTTTCATTCATGTCTAGGGAAACTTTGATACTCCATATACAAAATTCGTTCATCTCAACGCCATTCATCCGGTACTCCAGAAACCAAATATGAATGAAATGGCCGGAAGCGAGAGCGATGGATAGACAAGGAAAATGCTAGAGGTTGCTCTTTTTATGGCAAAAGCTTTTAGGTTTTAATCCCCAGGTTTAATCCTCTCCATGGGCGTCTGTGAAGGAGGACAGGGAAGCAGAAAAAAAAAGAAACAAGAGAATTTTCTCCCAAACAGGTTCTTGCCTTTCATCTATTCAACAAATCGATAGGTCCCACAATTTTTCCCCCCTTCACACCCCGATTTCGAGTTAACCATTAGAAAATCGTAATCGGGAGTGAAAACCAGGTAGCACACTCTGCTGGGATGCAGCTGGGGAATAGCCGAGTGTGCAGCTGTGAAAAAGCGGAGAAAATCAGCAGATTCTCAAGTGGGAATGTAGAGAGTGCTATCTGGGAAATCCCTTTACCTCACCCTCCAACGATAATGCCATGAAGGTTATAACCAATCTTCGTGATTGAGTTAAATAAAACTCTTTGTTACTTATGTGCAACAAAGAATGCAAGGGGTTCTCATTGGGAATATCAGCTTGTTTATCGCCTGAACTCTGAATCTGTCTCGAATATGGGGATAATAAATGATAAAATGTCCGATTTTATTGATAAATGAAACTAGAAATGACATATAGTGAGCTACTAAACACTCCTGTGAGGGATGATTCCATGGAAAGAGGGAAGGGCACTTTTGTGTACTTGGCGAAAAGGGAGACCCATACCGACATCTAGTGGCATCTAGTAGAATTCGCCCTTTGACATACCCACGCAGACCAACTTGGTTTTCCCCAGTTGGAATGCAGTTGCCTCACAGCAGAGACACCCCAGCTGTATGCAATCCGTTGAATAACAGCTGTACTTCAAAATGCAATAATCGCCTTTTTTACTGCTGGATGATCACAGCAGGAAAACACTTGAGACACTACTGAACTTCCTCAGCTGACTTGTCTCGGCTCCTTCCCAGCTGAATCTTTGCTGGAAATAACCAGCTTTATGGCAGCTGATGAGATGCTGCTATATCCCAGCTGCGGGACAGTAGGATTACATATATATCGCTATTTTCTCGCCTAGACGCTTTAATCTCAGCAGTGACACAGCTGGGATTTAAGAGTTGTGTTCATTGGGAATGTCGTTCGAGATATCCGGAAATTTTAGATAAGCGAATTCGAGTTAAAAAGAATATTTAACATGGTCTTACGAGATTCCGCTGGGAATTGAACTTCGAGATAAGCGGAATTTCGACTTATCAGGAGTTAACGAGTTTCTACTGTAGGTTGAAAGTAGTAATCAGTATATAGGTTGAATGCCAAGACCCGGGTAACCCTTCCAGATGCAAATCTACTCGCGCGACAGGTACGTCATCAGCAAGAGAACAGATTAGTCGGGGAATCGACGGTCGAGGAATTCACCGGGAACCATGAAATCTACTGTATAAATAGAGAAAGGAACTTGCCACGACCTCATGGAGTCAAGGTTCGCTGTTGTGAATATGTAAATTTCCCGTTTGATGGTGAGCTCGTGGTCGCATGTAGATGACTACATGTCATCAGTTCTGTCGGTTGATTAGAGGGGAGAAAAAAATAACTTGGGCGCAACCTTTCCGAGGAAGAGAGAACGTACAATTGAACTTTCTTTCACCTAGATGTCTCTGTGTTCCAATCCAGTGTTCCTGGAGATTCCGTATCCCGCGTAGAGTGTCTGCGGGTAGGAATAAATATGATCTCAGTAATGATTGATTGCTCTGAAGGCTCGGCATCGCACGATTTTTTCAATGCCCTTCATCAATCCAAAATTTACTTGTTTCCCCGGCACCAAAATTCTCGAGGCTGGGGTGCAAAGAGTATTTTGTCTCTCCCGCTCCCAGCCCCCCCTCCCCCCTCCCCCCTCCCTCCTTCCTCCCCCCTCCCCCCTTCCTCCTTCCTCCCCCTCAACCTTGCCCAGTTGAAGTCTCGTGGGGAAGGGAGTTGATAAAGGAGAAAAGGAATGATTTCATGATCTGTTCAATTTTTCGTGGAGGACAAAACCGATCTTTCTTCCCCCACCCCCTGCTGCTGCCTCTTTGCTCCATGATGAAATGAACAGTATGAGCCAGAGACCTGACAACAAAAGAGACAACAAAATGGAGACCTGAAGCGTTAGAATGGCTGTTGTGGCCCCGTTGAAAGGCCTCTGCTCTCTTCCTGTCACGCTTTCGGATATCTTTACGTGGAATGCCCTGAGAAAGAAAGTTCGTGGGGCACATCGATGCATCTCACCAAAGTTTCGTAGAAGCACTTCGATTGCCTTCCATATCATGAAGTCCGATTTCTGGGCAAAAGTGTGCCTGGAAGCGAAATCCCGTCTGCGCCAGTGCTCAGAAAATGGGGAGAATCAAGTTCTGTGATGTTCGAATGCCGAGTTAGAACCATACACGAATATGAAAA